AGCTAACTTGGATCTTTAACTCAAGGCGATTAGACCTTAAATCAAAGAGCACCAAGCTCTGATACCCTATGATGTTAGACCCTAGGGGGGTGATTAGGGTCTTATGCTAATCTAATCCGATTAAATGTCAATTAAAACTAATTAACAAGTTATCCTAGCAAGTATGAAATACAACAATGTATATGAACTAGGATAAGCAATATGAACAACAAGATATATCCTAACAAAGAGATATAGGCAATGTATGTGCAAGGATATATAAACTTAAGGGTAAACAATCTAAACTAGATAGTGGGCAATATAATCAACAAGCAATATACAAAGGCGATATAAGATATTAACATAAAAGGAAGTGCGTCAATGCAATCACAAATAAACAATATGATTACGGAGTTCGGTCTCCACGACCTACGTCTTCGCTCCTCACCTCGAGGAGATCTCCACTATCACAACCGGGTTTTCTACGTTCACCCGAACAACGTTTACACCTCACAATACAATCACTATGCAATCACACCTCACACATTAAGTGTTGGTCCTAGCCCGTGTCCTCATCCTCAAGTGCTCGGTTATAACCTCTCCCTAGGCACGTCAACCGACGCCACTCCTCTTGGATTTGACCCCGTCTCTCACCACACACTTCTCTCGGTGTACAAGTGTATTACAAGTGAATCCTCACTATTAAGCACAATATAACAAATGATTGTTCTCTCTAACAAGGTAAGAACTCAATTAGGCTCAACTCAATGTCACACTATCCCACAACCCAATTATATAATGTATGCAAATAAAATAAGCTCAATGGTTGTGTGTGTAAACAAAGAGTAAATCAAATCAAACTAAACTCAACATAAAACTAGCTTTAATAGAAATGATAATCAACAAATAATTATAAATAAAAGCTAGACTTGAGTTTAGGAAAACTTCTCTAGATCAAGATGGAGAGATGGAGATATGAGCCCAAACAAGAAGATAATCTCCTCCACTTGTGAAAACCAAAACAGCTTAAACCAAACCCTTAAACAAGCTTAAACAAGCTTAAACTCTTTTTAAAACCCTTGTTAAAAACTTCTTGGATTCAGTTGAAAAAGAACAGCAATAGGGTATTTATACCCACTTGAAATCTCAGCCAAAACTCCCAAAACAAAAGACCAAAAACCCCAGCCAACGGTAAATAAATTCCAAAAAATGTAAAACTTTGGGGAATGATTGTAGACATGATAATAAACATGCTACAATGACTGGTTATCAAAAAGGACTTCCCAAATGAAAAATATCATCATTTTACAAAATAGTCCAAAACATGAAAATATGAGATACTTGAATTTTGATGTTTTGACATAAACCAACTTTTGAAACTTTGTGAAATGTTTTTATAGACTTAGTAAAAGATGTATAAACTGATATTGAAGTCTATAAACTAAGAATACAATATTTTCATAAAATTGCATATTCTATGCAATGTTTTCAAAAACACAATAGTAAATATGAAATATGTGATTTCATATTATAAACATGAAAACTCAAAAACTATGTATGTATGTATATAACTATATATATGCATAGAAACCAAAATATATATATATATATATATATATATATACACACGAAGAAACCAATAAATGTGTGTGTATAGATATTGAGCTTAGAGTATATAACACATATAAATATAAAATCTAAAACTACATTACCCAAGCAATCTTGATCTTCAATTAAGCTTGACTTGGTACACTTGCGGATGAAGCTTGAACTTGATCTTTAACTTGAATTGTATAGGCTTCAACCCGACATTCCGCTAACCTCCTTTTGATATGATCGTTAAGGCTCGATTTCATCCATCCTCCAACTCGTTGTTTGTCTATAATAAATAAGAAAACACAAATACTAGACAAACAACATTAGTGGTAAATTGTTTGTTAAACATCATCAAAACAAGAAGACCAACATATGAAACAATGAATACGAAGGGATGAAGTTTCTTTCGCATCAGTGACTATTTGAAGTGAAGTGAATCGATATTCACTTCAGTGAATCTTCAGTGAATCTCGATTCACTCAATCTCTTCAGTGAATCTCGATTCACTGAAGTGAACCTCGATTCACTACTTCAGTGAATCTCGATTCACTACTTCAGTGAATCTCGATTCATTATAGTGAATCGAGATTCATCCATGAGAGACTTTGTTTGACAGTATAATAATAAAATTTATTATCTAATCATTGAATATCCTGCTGAGAGGTGAATCTCGATTCACTGAGGTGAATCTCGATTCACTGAGGTGAATCTCGATTCACTGAGGTGAATCTCGATTCACTGAGGTGAATCTCGATTCACTGAAGTGAATCGTACCATGATGAATTTGTTAGTGTCAAACAAGGATCAAGAAAGGGTTCAAAATTGAGAAAAAATTGATGATTAGTTACTATATCTTTAAACAGTGTTACCAAATCTAACTTTGTCGTTAACTGTTGATTAATACAAAAGTTATTTTAGTTTGTATAATTATGGATTATCATGTTCAACTCTTATTCTAATATAACTAGTTGAATCTAAATTCATAACGATGAATCTCGATTCTATCGATAATTTATGAGTTATTTTGAATAACTGTAACCTCAACATGACGCTATCTCGTTTGTATCTTTACGGTGAAGTCAAATTTGTGATTCGGTTTGACTAAAACCAAATAAACCAAATTATCCTTCATTTTGCATGATAGAGGCATTTTTTGAATTAATGTCTCAATACGACGCTCGTACACAAAGTTATGGCCTTTCAAGGTTTTACAACTATCCAATACAATTTTTAAATATTTTACCAAATCCGATACTGAAATGACTTGAGTTTACATCTTAGCTGCCTAAATCTAAAAATAAACAAGAATCATTATATCAATGAACATAGAATCACCATTGATGAATCAAAAACTGAATTGAGATTTAATCTAGATTGAATATTATAATGTTACATCTGTACAGGTAAATTCAGATAGTAGGCAAACATAAATCAACTAGTTTAGAGTTACAGATAAACAATATAAATTGATATTCAATAAAATTAATGTACAATGAATCTTAAGTGAAACAATGGATCTAATGGGATAGGTTCTCTTCATAGATTTCAGAAGACTTGCGTTTGCACGTGGATGGCATGGATGAACGGAGATTCACTATAGTGAATCTCGATTCAATGATGTAAATCGAGATTCACTGAAGTAGATTCATTTCAGTGAATCGAGATTCACTGAAGTGAAATCAGATTCATCCCGTCGTATTCATTGTTCCAGTGTGTCTAGTCACATAGGTTTATCAACTCCCTGCAAAAAAAAAAAAAACTAAATCTGTGATTTCCAATTTAATTCAAGAGTACGTAAAACATGACTTTTACTTAAACTAAATTTGTATTTAGTTCAGTGAACATCGATAACTTATATTGAAGCTAAAATATAAGTTTGTATTTAGTTCAGTGAACATCGATTCACTTCACTTCAATTTTACCCTTTACAGCAAAATTTTAAATTGGATGCCCTTTACAGCAAAAGTTTTTGATTCAACAAACTTCCTATCATCAAGCTATAAAATTTTAAACCATGAAAAGATTTCACCTTTTACAGCAAAAAGTTACGATTTTTATGGTAAAAAACAAACACCTCACATAACTGAATCTGGATTCACTGCAGTGAATCTAGATTCACACATGCGTGTCTTCATTTTTCAACTGGTTTCTTCAAAAAACAGGAAATTTTTCAGACTAAAAGGTGAAATTTTTTACTTTTTACAACAAAAAGCTACGTTCGTACACAAAGTTATGGCCTATCATCAAGCTATAAAATTTTAAAGCATGAAAAGATTTCACCTTTTACAGCAAAAAGTTACGATTTTTATGGTAAAAAACAAACACCTCACATAATTGAATCTGGATTCACTGCAGTGAATCGAGATTCACTGGTGTGAATCGAGATTCACTGGTGTGGATCTAGTGAATCTAGATTCACACATACGTGCCTTCGTTTTTCAACTGGTTTCTTCAAAAAATAGGAAACTTTTCAAAAAATAGAAAATTTTTCACCTTTTACAACAAAAAGCTACGATCTTTAAAGTTAAAACTAAACCTTTTAGACGAAAAATCAAACAAATTTCATAAACTTACCATTAAAACGTCAAAATAATTTAACGATGACAAAGGTTGAATACGGTGGTTGAAGATGAAGGTTGAAGACAAAGGTTGAAGAAGACCGTTGATAGAGATGCAGTTGAAGGCAAACGTAGCATTAGATAGGTTGGGATGAGTTTTGGAGAGAGAGAGAGAGTCGCCGTAACTTTTTGGATAGGGAGATGCTGAAGAGAGAGAGAGAGAGTTGATGTGATTTTGGAGAGAGAGAGAGAGAGATATATTATGACTTTTGGAGAACTCAACAGACACATGCATTCATTACAGTGGCAGCATGCATTCATTACAGGTGGCTGTTAATTTTACATGATTACCCTTATGCAGCTGTAATAGTAATAGTTAAGTATGGTTTTCAAATTTGAAGCATGCATTAAGCTTCTATCACTATCTGAGTTACGAAAAAACCTTTAATTATTATTTTTTTAATCCAAACCCTAATAAATAACACAAGTGTTACAATGCCCAAATAGAGAACGGGCATGCCACAGATCAACCATCCGCCTTTTGAGACAAGGCCCCAAGCCCCAACCGCTATGCCACTTCCGAAGGGTCCAACTGGGCCATATTAATAAGCAATTGATTGTATTATGATTAGTTACAACGAAATAAAAGTTGGGTCGTTGACCTTGTAGTCTTAGGCTCATCATCTAATCTCACTTGATTAATTGCTGTACTTGAATTAGTCATCATAATCCTACCATTCACAAACCCTAAGCAAACGGATGATAAAAAAAAAGCCCGCTATGACGTCTTCTGTATATAGCTCACACCATAGGCCCAACAAAGTTAAATACTTGAAAATAAAACATCTAGTTACAGGGGTCACAAGATAGAATTAAATGTTTAGAACTTTTCAAATGGAGGGGGTAAAAAAAACAGTATATAACAATTCAATCTGAAGTGTTCAAACAATCTGGTGATTTCCAGCAAGAAACTATAATCTAATGTCCCATCACCTTGTCAATTTTGAAACGAAAAGAAGGATGAAGAGGAAAACGATAAAATTACATATATGCACACTTTGATTAGTGATTCCGCTGTTTTTCAAGTATTCCGCGAGTTTCGTCTAATGTATATGCAAGTGAATTGCTTGCACCAAAAAATTACTAGAATCTCCAACGATCTCTAGGCTATTGACATAGTTGCAACCTAATACTTTCGCCTTGTGTTAATCACAAATTTGTAACATTCTGATCAACTGAGAACTCACCAAATATATTGGGGCAATCTTCCCATTTCTTTCGATCTCTTGCTTCCCAGTATCCGCCAATGTAGCGAAATGTCCCAGTTTTGTCGTCCTTTTGAAACCATCTCGGTTTCCACCCATTTTCCTGCAATTTACGTGACTGTTCAAAGGAAACAACAACATCAAGGTTAGATTAATATAATCAAACTAGAACCGGTAATCACATATATAACCTCTGCACTAGAGAGTACCATCCGTTGTCTCGTCTCCAATCGAAGCTTTTCTGCAAATGCCTTTTCATACTCGCCATTTTCAAGATATCTTTGATCTGGACGAAGTCTTGAATCCGTAGGTGGAAGTTTCCCCTTAATAGATTATCAAATATTCAAGATCAGAACTAGAACAAATAAAAGCAAATTGTTGGAAAGCAGCCAGTTGACTTCTATGTCTCTCTACCTGAAGGTTTGGTGTCAACTCATTTAGTGTTATTGCAAAAGATGACAAGTTGTACCGAGTAGGATTTTCAGGAGGTTTGTTTCTTTTCCATAACAAAGTGGCATTCTCTGTTGATAGCTTGGTTTTAGAAACATCATCTCCAGTAATATAGTACATGCTGTCATCCCATTTCCCTATCAAAGCAGCAACTTTGTTTCCCATAGTATCCTCTACAAAGCCTTGCACCTATAAGGAACAATTAGTCCTCAATCATTAAAAAGACAAGATACACAATGTGACATCTATTAACATGAGATCTTACTTGGCGAGGGTTGCGGTCAAGAAGAGATTGCTCTTTGAACTTAAGCTTACATGAATATTGGCGGTTTCCTTGTATGCTCATTGTACCATGGTGATCACAGTATATTTTACCAAGGATGAGATTATAGATACTAGTCGTTACCTAAAAGAACAGAAAATGGATATTGCCAATCATATGTCAGCCGAAATAATACCATAAATATGAAGATGACATTGCTACAGACCTTGCTCCATTGAAATATTTCACCATCATCAAATTCCAAGGTTAAAACACCAAGAGGATCTAGTTGAATAGATCTGCCCCAAAATTTACTCCTGACATTGCTGTCTCCCCAGAATCTCCAACCTCTTCCCTCACAATGGCAGGCAATGAGCATTGGATGGTGGCTAACCTAACAATGAAGATGATACATTCACTCATATCCAGAACTAAGCATTTTCTATGTCTCAATTATGAATGTAACTTCTGGCCTCCAAAAAATCAGCAACTGTTATGCAAGTATGACGACTTAAACATGTATTTCTATTTTCTCTAGAATGAATTAGAAAATGTAACTTCAGCTGCAATAAAAAGAGCAATAGTTCATCCTGAATGGATTAAAATCTGTGAAATAAATAGATCTTAAATTTGTAGTCATTATAATATTAGCATGTGCTTTATGAAGTAGATAACAGAAATATATTTCTCTGTCCATAAATGCAAATGGCGAGTGCTAAGGATTTCCCAAACAGATTATGCTTGTGTTTGATGATGGAAATATAATATGCAAATAGGATGAAATAGAAAAGATGTGGAGTGAGTGATGGTCTTAAACAGAAATTTGAGTTTATTCCTAACAGTAGCTTCGCTTGGACTTTCAGGGTTAATGTGATACTAACATCTGTTTAAGACGGGTCCACTTAATGCTTAACAAAATGTTATCAGAGACTAGATGGTGACTCAAAGGGGAGCGAAGTTTGGTGTACATATAGAAATGGAGGGAGAGATTGTTTGGAATTCATATGTGAGTATAGTCTCACGTTGGAAAATTTTTAGGAGAAATACAATAATGGACTATGGAGGTCGATAACTAATAGATAAAATTTTGGATTAATTTGGTGGTCAATATCTGTTTTAAGGATCATTTACTCTCCATAGAGGACCAATTACTCCCCAACGAAGACTAAGAGAAGTGTTTCAAGAATATCATTGGGTCGTAGTTACATTTACTTGATAGAACATAATTATCTGCTCACCAACTTAGCATGAAAATCTGGTCACTACCTTAAAATACGGACTGTATTTATGTACAAAATCTACATTTTTCAGTATTTAACAATCAGTGGCCAGTTCATCCAGTCACATATGATCTTTCCATCATCAACACAAAGCAATCATAATCAATCATGAATAAGCAACAAGGAAAAAGATTTGTATATGTGGTCCAGTCAACTCTGAACTACAATTATTAGGACTGCTTTATAGAGATATCACTATACTGACATGGATTACAAGAAAGAATGCAATCAAAACAAATTTGTATGTGGTCCCGGCAAATCTGACCTTCAACTATCGGGACTGCTTTATAGAGATACCATTATATTAACATGGATTACAAGAAAGCAGTCAAACAACACCTTTTCCCCTGATATAAGTTTGAGTAATCACCCATCATCGCCTACAAAAATGAAAAGATTTATTTCCTTAATAATAAATCGAGACACCTTGATGTACAGCACCTTACCTCGAATTGATGTTCAAATATATAATATTGAGCTCCCTCTACTCCTTTCTTCACTCTCTTCATCTTCTAGTCATGGGTTCACAATCTTTATCTTAGGAACTTCACTAGTTTGTGAGGCCTTCTATGTCCCTCCTTAGTATCGTTGCTAACCATTAAATAGTCATAAATCATTACTATTTATTTAGGATCCAAGAAATCCAAATATCTCACAGCTCTAAATTCTAATTTTGTTTCAAATCCAGTTCTGTATTTAAGTGGTAATTCCTTACACCTATAACTTTCGCATTTGGGTTGATCACAGGACAAAAGCAAATATCTCTATTGCTTATATTCAAGATATGACAAACATTGGAGATACTCCGACGTGTATTCTTTTTCATTGTTTCTTACTTACATATTCATTATTATGACCCATTGGGCCCTACTGTAAACAACTTGTCGCAACTTATATTGACAACTGTAAGATATCATATTTCCATCACCCTAAATTGGAGTTGTTCATGTGTTTGCATGCTTACCTTTTTGACGTTACACAAGCCTTTTTCTCCATCTTAACTCTGGATCCTTCCAAAGTTACCACAAAGACAGTTATGTCAATCACTATACCGTAATTCCAAAACTAAAACTGTCCATCACCTGATGATATTCTATGTCACATGCATACTTCTTAAGAGTCTTAAATTTTACCTTAATGCTACGGACAAAAACACCTATGTCAATTGCTCTTAATCCAAAAAATAGAGCTACCATTTGAGTAATTTGATGGTTAACTCTATTGTGTCCAGAGATGTACCTTGAAGCATCATTCTTTACCTTAACTTCTTTATCATGAGCATACTCCTTTTCCCTCAAATCTACGACAAAGACGTCATGTCAATTTCTCCGTCTTTAATCAAAACTAGAACTACCACATATATTAGGTGGTCCTTGCGTTTGTTATCTCCACATAACTTTTTTATCATGTGCATACTCATTTTCCCTCAAAACTACAACAGGTACACCATGTCAATTGCTCCAACTTTAATCAAAAACTAGAACTACCACATATGTTATGTGGTCCTTTCATATGTTATTTTCATATATCTATCTTGAAGTAACATTCTTTACCTTTCCCTTTTTCCCTTGATTGCAAGGCATAAATACAATTATCCCATGTTGAATGGCACTGGAACTTCATGCTTTCGTTCATTATTTTCCTTTCTTGGCTGTACCATCTTGTCTCTCCCCCTAAGACCCATTATAACCAAGTTGTCACACCTTATGTGAACATGAATCTGTCCATTGACTCGGTCCTCGGTTTTAAACCAGTGAGACACCATCCTATCACCACCTTGAGTCGGACATTTTCTTGTATTCACATCCTCACCTCCCAAGAAATCCAAAATAGGCCTCATGCTGCACCTTAACCTAGAATCCACTAAATATTCCAGAAAGAATATTATGCCCACAATTCCATTTCAATCTCAAAACTAGAACATCTACTGGAGAATCCAGATAATGGGCTTGTATAACGTGCGTAGTTTTCCAATCTCTCAAAGTTTATGGCAAAACCACCGATGTTAACAGCTGCACCTTAATTCTAAAGGTGAAACCGCTATTGGAGTAACCTGATGATGGTCATGTATCATGCTGAAATAGTTTCCTTGAAGCATCATTTGTTCTAAATGCTGAAGCTACCAATTCTACCTGTACTTGATAAATCACTATGCTTCACCTATATGAACCTTTCAAACATTGGGTTTGCAATAGAAATTTTATATCGTCCTTGCCACTAGCCATTACCTGCTCTTCTGACACCTTATTGGTCCTTGTGCATGCCACCAGAGTCTTGAAGGTAAATGTCATCACATAATTTTATGATCTTAGTGTGCTGCTAAAAAACTAAAATGTGTTCTAACAATCATCATCTATATAGTGATGCTTGTTACATCCACTATTTGAGACAATGATCTCACCTTGTCAGATGCACCGCACATATTAATGGCGTCAGCCTTCAGCAGACCCATGTAACAGGAGATCATCACAATCATGTCAGATTCATTAACTTGAGACCTCAAACTAATACAAAATTTCACAATCACAGTTATGATGTTTATAAAAGATGTTTCTTAATCAGATATAACTAGAAGCATATAATTAAAACTGTTAAACTTACAATAATGCTAGAAGGAAGAAAAGATGCCTTGACATTCAACAACAAACCTTCTCAGAGAAAAAACGAAGTCCCTTTTCGGGAAAATCAGCTTCATAAGTCTCCCCTAACAGAGGATTGAATGGTTTACAGGGCCGGCCTTCAGTAGAAGCATATCCAGAGACTGCAAAGGCAGCTATATTCAGCATTCTCATGACACTGTTTCCCTAAATAAAAAGCATAGAATCTCAGTGTAAGAAAGACATATTAGAGGTCAGTGGAATAGTTTCATTAATTTTGAAAAGCATCATATAGTCATTTGGACATAATGTGGTGGATTTTAGAAAAGAAACAAGTGCTTTGTAATGTAATAAAAATACTTAACGGAGTAATCAATTGAAGTGAAATCCACTGAGGTAAGACTAATCTACCACCAATTCTCAGAGGTCTACACCTTGGTTTGCTGATGTGTCCTTATCTCTTTGGATTGATTATGGATGAAGTTACTAGGCATATCAAGTACATTCATGATAAGGTCTCATGATGCATGTTTACTGCCTGATGATGGTAATGTATTAGTGGCTAAGATCAGAGAAGGGATGATTTCTAAATTAACAAGCTAGAGAAAGCTTTAGAATCTGAAGTACTTGGAAAAAGCATGAGGAAAAAGATGCAGATGTAGCTTATCAAAAGGCAAGACAAAACTAATATATAGTGCACATCACATGATGATAGACAAGAAATACCTAGGATGGTTTCACTTTTGCTTGTCCATCATTTATCATGAGCAATAAGAAGAATAATATCACAAATGAACCTAGCATTACTTCAAATTAAAGAACTCAGAGTATGACTACTTGACCAAGGTTACTACATCCATGGAACGCTTTGAATTGCCTGCTGGTCAGCAATATGAGGAGGTATGTGTTTGCGTGCTGTTTTAGGTCACGGGTACTAGGATCATTTTGATAGTCATGGAAACATTTCATCTATATGCATAAGCTTATACACGAGCATACTTCTCTCCACATTTATATACACATAAATACGCATTCAAATAACTCTTCTCATGGTTGAATCATGCTTGGATTACCCAGGACAAGATGATTACTGATAAAATTGGATACAGGAATTAGAAAACATAAAGCAACATAAAAGAATAGCCATAGAAAATGGGAAAATGTAATTTCCAAAGAAGCTGCCAAGATTGAGAATATGAGAAGATTAGTGAACATCAAGAAAAAATAATCAAAAATATCTATATGTTAGGCTCTCCACTTTCCCCCATAAATATTCCCCCATACCAATGATTTGCATTTCTCCATAGAAAAATTTTCAACTTATATAGGTAAAACGAACATTTTAATTTCTATCGTTCCTTCCACTGAGATTGTGTTCTGGATTGGCACTTTTACCAATTAAGATTGTTGCACCAGGAATCTGTTGTGGATATCTCTATCATGGATCCAGAGACGGGTCAACGAATTAAAAAACATTAAGCAAGACTACAATTGGTAGAAGCCCGTCTGAATAAATTGGAATTAAACTTGAAAAATGGTGAAGTCAAAGATCAATAATTCTCTATAGATTTCATCAATATCCTAGTTTTTTTACTCAAAGAGAATGAGGATCCTCAATCCTCACTACTACATAAGGACATAATTGCAAGATGATCAAATATGAGGAGTAACAAAGAAACATATTCAAACTTGTGATAGAACCAATCAATTTTAATGACATGGCCATTCATCCATTTGATGTCAAACAAGTAGGCTGGGCCTTAAAACCAAATTGTGACTACCTTAAGAACCCACTAAAGTTGGAAAGGGCATCAGAGCCAAATCTGTATGGTTTATCCTCGACAATGATATCAGTGCCAAGTGCCAACAATATGAATTTTCTTGCATTTTTTTTATCTGTACAATATAAATACCGACACATTTTTTTGTTTATCAAAGCTTCCAAGCTTACCACGATTGCATAAAGCTTCAAGATACTGTTATTATTTAAGAATATACATACTTTTAGCAACAAAAGCAATTTGTTAAATAAAGGGGTGAACTTTACTGGGATTATCCTTGCTGCTCTCATTTATAAATTATTTATTTACTTAAAATGAGTTGGATTAAGAAATTGCTAAAATGAATACTTGTGTCAGTATGCAGTTTCAGTAGACGATTCAAAAATGCAGCTGCGATCCATAAAAAAACAGCTTATGAAAACTGAGCAAAATTGTCACGAGAAATAAGACGCAAATTAGATTTCTCGCATGAGCATACCATCTTTCCATATTCATATGCTCGATCCAAGAGATAGGAATACTCCAAGTCTTCAAAGCACTTCTGCAGCGATGACAGAGGTTCATTGAAGTAAACAGGGAGGCATATTCGAGTGAGATCCTTTCCAACATTATCTTTAATTATTGACCAAAGGCTCACACCTTTTTCCTTCTCAATAGGTTGTGGCAGTTCCTTACGCCTTTCTACATGTGGAAACTTAAGATCACTATATCCAGCATCAATATGCATCATGTTCAGATCATTCCCGTGATTTTCACTTCTGCAAACAGTGTTACAATGGTCTGTTTCTAGCATCAAAGATGGACCATTAATAGGAGATTCAGCAAAACCCTCCTTTGTATCAAAAAAACAACATTCTTCATCTGAAGAGTCATCAGCCTCTTGCTTTTCCACATCCTCAGATGATTCTGTCGCACTATACTCTGGTTGAAAATGAAAGAGTAATGAGATGAGGCGAAAAAAATTTTAAGCAACCCCCAAATGCAAAATGAGAACAATGCCAATTTGCAAATTTCATGTGCCTGTGTGTGTCAACTGTGTACACTCCCAACATGGTAAAACCAATCTCCAATGATTTAAGAAAATAGCAAGACTGGTAAGTGCAGTAAGCATATTGCAGAAGCCTCCATAGGCAAAGGTGGTGAGCAGCTTCTGCATTCTCAGACATCCGAAGATACTCGCACTCTATCCTTCACAAGGAAAAAACAATATTCCTGTTCTTCCAAGAGATAAGGGAACAAGCCAAATGGAAACTTGTAAAATATATTCAACAGATAGCCCATTTCAGACCTATTAACTATTCACTGAATAGACTTCATGTACAACCTCTGCTGAAAGTTAATAAATGAGAAACTTTGCCAATCATAATAAACCTATGGCCGATACAGGTGCCCAAATGTCGGAACTTTAAGTGCACACACACATCAATAAAATCTCTAATTCATTATTTTCTACAACCATGTTTTCATTTATGTTGATTGGTTACCTTTTCAAAAAACAAAAATTCATTCCTTATTTCTGAGTATAGACAGCAACTCTGGCATTTCAGTCTGTTTCAGTAAGTATTGGTATAATGCTGATGCCAGGCACATATAACCTCAACTTTATATCATGCATTCTAAGCAATATGTATTTTGGTTAGCAGCAAGTAGGTGATGCCTACAAGTACACTAACAGAGATTGCCAATTTAATCAATACTCTTTTCGATCACCAGTTTGCTGATTTAACGAGAAGAAATTAAGGCAAGTAAAACTAGTATATCACTTAATAATTCTAGTCCAACAGGAAGGCTTCCAATACATTAAGAAAAGAAACAAATGGGATAAATTAAGGAAAGGTGTACCGCTGTATTTTCCATGACCAGAGCTAGAAAACTCATTCTTCATCAACTGTAATGAGCCCTCACGAATTGTTCTGGAATCTTCCTCCACATTAACATCCTGGATTCAGAAACACTATAAATTTCTTAAAATATAGAAATGAAAATATATGAAAAAAAATTATAAGTTAAAATTTTGATAATATATAAAATTATGAATTTTTGATATGGATCAGTGACATATAAGGATTACTATATTCATCCTAAAAGAAAGTGAAATTTCTAAGGGTCAAATATACGTGAATTGTCAATGTTAAGTGGCTGAAGTATTCTAATAGTCAATCAGATACATAACTCAGCCCTGCAATATATATTTAACTCAAATCCTGCTAATTGTTTGGTAATAATAAATGACAGGACATAGTATGAATAACGGAAAAATAAATGTTATCACAGTCATTGTCGACTGCATCACCAAGTACTGATGTGATCAAGACTATGCTTGATGAAGTAGTAACTAACATGAGAACATTTAATTGAAAAGGAGACTATCTCAGGATATATGCACTAAGTCCTTCTCACTTAATGAACACACTGGCCATTTAAAGATGTAGCCCCAACAGGACAGGTTATTCTCTACTAGTAGCATGACAGTTGATAAGGCTTAAGGACTGGTCTGAATCCATAAAAGTGGAATTAGAGTCCACAGGATTTAGAATTAACTGAATGGAAAGTGATGTATCATGTATGGAATTCAATGTAATGAAACTATGAGATAGGAGATAGGAGGATGTAGGCTGCATTTTATGGCCAAGAAATACCAAGAGGGTATTATTTTGCTAGTCAGGACAATCTGTTCACCATGATGATGACATGAAGAACGTTGTTCAATCAAGATGGAAGTGGGAACAAGTTCCTCTGTAGTTTTATTTGATCATAGAATCTGATGAAATTGAAAGGAATGTTTTACAAAATTGCTTACCACCATCCATCTTTTTATGGTTCAGAATGTCAGGTTTGAAATAGTATGCCTAAAAAATAGCAAAAGACCCTGAGATGAATGAGTTCATCAAAAGGAAGTTGAAAGAAAATTTTACAAAATTGCTTCCAACCAGCCATCTTTTTATGCTTCAGAATGTCAGGCTTGAAATAGTATGCCCAAAAAATAGCAAAGTACCCTGAGATGAATGAGTTCATCAATAGGAAATTAGACGTAATTTCACTTAAGGAGTAAGGACACAGTAATGAAGAACTAGCTGAATGGTTTAGGTGTGGCGAAGTCGACCAATAAAGTGCACAAATTATGACGACTGGTATGATCCTAGTTCTCATATCAATAAAAAAAACAAAGGTCAGACCTAAATAAATATGGATTAAAAGTTGAAAGGAAACATTAGTTATTAACCTAACAAAGGAAATGACCCTTAATAGGCTAAATAAGCACCATGGATTTATTTAGCCGACTGAAGTCTTTGTTTTTGGTGTTACATCAGCTGTTCTATTATAACTGATATCCTAAATTTTTACTGATTGTAGGAAATTTAACCCAATGGCAACACCTTATCGTCAAGCTATACATGCAAATCAGCCTTCAAAGTGAATCACACCTTTTTGGAGTTTTATGTTATTCTCGCATTTTTATACATACTGCTTCCATTTGCAAGGATGATGGCACAGCTTTTAAACATTTCAAATGCCAAAAGTTTTAATGATTGCAGGTTAAATATAACCAAGTTCATTGACTAGATAACCCTAAAAGCCCCCAATATAGGAATAGGAAAAGGTCCAATAAAAAAAGTATACCCCAAATATTGGAAAAGGATAAGGTCCAGTAAAAAAAGTATACAGTTATCAAAATATATAGCTACAAAAATACATCTGTGTAAAATAACAAATAACGGAAAAAACTTAGCAAAAATAGAAGAAATCAATAGTAATATAAAGAAATACATGAATGGAGAATAAAAAGGATACGTTCTTAACAAAATATATAATAAGTACCATGATTTTTTTATGACATTCCACAAAAATAATACTACTCAAAATTTATCAAAAGCACAAAGAGTATAAATAGTTTTATTGAAGAATGCCTACAATCAGATAAACATGAATACCTCCAACTGCTGCCTGAATGTGCCAAGCAGGTGAAGCTGCTCTTCATACCGAAGTTTCAACTGTCTTTGGAACTCTGAGAATTCTGATTGCATGATCTGCTCACAGTCCTTGATGACAGCCTCACTGAGTCCTTCACTGTTCATACGGTCTCTAAGTTTTTTAGTTGAAAATGATACATCATCATTGTGTACCAAAGATAACTTGTCATTCAGTGAAAATTTGCTTCTTGCAGACACTAAAGCTTCAATCCAGGCCACACGATCTTCTTTTGAGTCAGTTCTCAAATGAAGAGTCTTTGTGGGAGAGAATATATAGAATCGTCTATCATCAGACTTGCTTTCACGAAATGATGAGATCTATGCAAAAAAATTTGAAAGCTAATCATTTTTTAATATATACGGGCTTAATTTCTAATACTTACACATCCAATATAGTGACAAAGTTCATAATTTTTCAAATCAAACGTCAAATCAAGACTAATATCCAAGCAAAACCAAATAGTAAAAAAGGATTAGTTAGGGTCCTCAATTGAAGGCTACTAAAAACACCTACTGGATTTTATTTTGTTTTTTAGGAAATGGGTTATCGAGTATAAAGACTCGATTGAAATGTTAACGAACAAAAACATACTAGACTATGTACTACATGCATCTTGCCCAAAGTCAGGTTGCTTGTGAGGCGCAAAAGGCATTGTGGCATCAGATGTGGGGCGCTTTGCCACCTCCCTGCATTACAAGGCGCATGAGGCGCGGTGAACAAGGTTTTAAATATCGGATATCGGAAAAATATCGGATGGCCAAAAATTCATATCGGATTACAGATTTCGAGGAAATATCAGGGATATGTGGTAAATATCGGAATGCCATAATGAATGTTTGCATACATAGTATAATGCATCGAAATGTAATCTCAACATATGTAATGAAATTTAAGCATACAAAATATGAATAATATATGTTTAGGATCACTAATCAACCTTCTAAAACAAACAAAAGTGCAAAGTAACGTTGCAACATTCGATCTGCTTTTTTTAAGGCAAAATATCATTTGATATAATGGAAAAATCTTGATATCTCGCCCAAAAATTCCAAACACGGTATATTCTTTTGCAACAAGCTATATAAAAAGATATATTGGTCCACATATCGGCTAATATATCGGTCATATCGGGGATTTATCACTCAAAATAGCCAAAAAACGGTAAAGAATATTTAAAGACCATATTGGTTGCGGCAAGCCCTGTAAAAGGATATATCGGGGGATATATCAGGCCGTGTTAGGGATATTTAAAACAATAGCAGTGAGGTGCGCGCCTTTGAAAACGCTGGTTGTATCTAGGTTTTAAGCAACAAAGATCAGTGTGAATTGTTCGTATCATACAACAAAGAGAAGAAAGTTGCGGTCAATCACTATAGGAGAGTAATGTGTGTGTACATGTGTGAATGAGAGCAATGTCTGAAAAAGTTTTTTGAAACTCTATTTGAATCTGGATTCAAAACTTTCTGAAGAGTAATCACGTTGAAACCCAAAAGAAAAACTCTTTATCCATTGAAGCTTACGCCTCATCACTTAAAAGTATAATTGAAGTGTGTGTTTCACGCTCCATAAAGCACTTCTTTTTAGAACCGTTCGCTTTAGACAAGATATAAGGATATAGAAGGATTTTTTTTTTTGTTCCTTGTGCATATTATTAGGATGGATTTTATTTTCATATCAAGATTCAATTTCTTCTCTTCCATGGGAGTTGTACCAATACTCGTATCTAAATTTGATTTCATACATGGTTTTAAAAAGCAGTCTAGATGATAGCTTATGTGCTTGCCTAGGGCTAGGCATGCTCCTACCCCTAAGCAGTACCTCAGTCACCCACTTAATTCTTGATAGTGTCTAGGCAAACATGGGATAACTAGGCAAACTCACCACAACTAAAATAAGTTTTACTGCATGCTTAAGCATAACAATTCCAAATAGTAAATAGAAAGATCAGGTTAAAATTGATTAAATCGGAATTCGATCCAGGTTCATCTCAGATAAAATGGTGAAGACAGGATTTTAAATTTTTGAGAAAAAAATCCTTCCTCTCCCGATGCAAAACACACCTATGTTCCACTTAGGCACCTACCTAGGCACTTAGGCACTAGGTGTCATGTTCGATGCCAAAAAACGCCAAGCGCTATCTAAAACATTGATTGGATGAGTATCATACCTTATTTAAACATGTACCTCAACCTATACTAGTTTGTCTATGTAAATTGTAACATACCACATGATATGCACATCATTTGGTGTATGTACATCATAGGATATAAAAATCAATATTATGTTGCCTGGTGAAGCAAATTAAGGGCATGGTTGAGTTTTCACTATTGTGATTGAAAATTTTCTTCTTGCAACAATTAGTACCCAACATTAAGCGCCATTGAAAGATGGGGCTCACAAAAACTCGATTAAAAACTATAAAGCATGAATACTTCTCTATAGCTCCATACCCATGTCAAACACTGACACTCCGAGGACCTATTATGGACACCACATAGGACACGTCTAGCCTATCCAAAGACTATGATGTTTCTTATTCTAAATACATGTGTACACCATTTCTCTAGTTGAACTAGTTTATAGTGTAATCGAATCACTCGATAGTTAAGATCCTTCATGTTAAAATATTGTTGACGTAGATATCTTTCTTTTAAGTACTTCCTATTGCCATAGAATATAGAATTTTGTGAATTTGTCTTCCAGTTGATTTGTGATTTCGGATAATTTAGTAGTTTCCAATTTTATGTATATTGTATATAATATATAATATTTATTTAACAATATATCAAATATATTATTAGTTGTTCCTCGTATCCTCCCTTTTCCAAGCTTTCCAACATCCAATCCCTATTTCTGTATTCGTTCCTACAATGTAGATCCAAAGTAATATCTGTATACAGTCTCACTTTATCTTATTAGATAAGAAAAACTACAAATTTCCATACAACCTGAAAACTCTTTTCAATTTCTTCAAAGCTAGAATTAAGTTCATCGACAAAACGGAAGTCAAATGATAATAGGATCTGACATTGCTTGAGAGCAGGTCAATGTAAGATTCACGAGAATTAGTAAGTGTTGCCTCTTAAAAGTCAGTTATTTCAACATGCTAACTAACCAGTTATGCAAATAATTAAGTTGATGGTTATCTAGCATTTACGGGTTGAACATGAAGTTACCTAACTTAATATCTGGGAACAGAAACCGTCTCGAGAGCTCTTCACACGAAGTGTAAATTTCTTTGTAGCTTTCTATTACCTGGGGATGTGTTTTGGTTTCTCTTTATTTGTATGCGCACCGCAAACCTGGATATTAATTATCTATGAATAACCTAACATTTCTCAACTACTTCTCTAGACCTTTTCCCCAGTTTAGAAAATTTGTAAAAGTAGTTGGCCGTAACGTAACACGTCAAGCACCATTCCTATTCGTAGTTTCTTAGACAAAAACTTAGTACTATTAAGAATTGACATAAGGTCAACAACTGCTGTAAGACTGGGTCAAATCCTCATGCAACCTTACTCCCTATTCGATCCCTTTCTGACAGGAAAAATCTCAGATGACAAGATGATATTTTTACTGCCCTATAGCATGGAGAGCTTGTATGCTATATAGCCACATAATAATCCAAGGGATGTGTGAAATCCACTGATGTTTCAGTATATGCAGAGACTAAGAGGGTGCTTGGGAAGCTAATTTTTTTGTCACACTGGCTTTTAAGGTAGCTTTTTCATTGTTACATGTTTGGTAAAATGTCAAATAAGTTAGTTTATAAGTCCTATTTTAAAAAGCCGGTATCCCACAACTTTTGAAAAAAAAAATAGCTTATAAGCTCACTTTAAAAAAATTAGATTTCACCAAACAAATTACTATTCTACCTCAAACAACTTTTATAGAATTTTTATAAAAAAAAGCCAAAAGCCACTAAAAGGCAACATAACTTATAATTCAAAAAATAAGCATTCCCAAACACCCTCCACACGAGCCAATTTGAAAACCAAAGTTCAACTCTGTTCAGCAGGTCTTGTTTACATCCTACATGCAACCTAATCTCTAACATCTGACCCCCCCCCCCCCCCCCGGCGGCGCCCATGGGGGCACTAAGCCAATTTCTGGAAAGTAAAAAAAAAACTTGACTCCTTATTTCATGAATCCGTTAATAAAGGCATTAGATAAGGTAATACTAGACGTCAAAACCATCCCCAATGACAGCAGCGCCGTAAGTTCAATGCGAAGGTAAAAGAAGAAGAACAGTAGAACTAAACATGGAGAAAAAACAAAAGAAATCATTTGGAAAAACCCAGTACCTATCTCCCAATCTCCTGCCCCTCCGCGTGCAAATTCAACAGCCAATCAGCCGAACAGGATAATCCAGCTGTATCCAGATAAACCAGTCCTAAAATCTATGGCACCATGACCCAGCAAGGCCCACCCGAAACAAAACACCCCCCCAGCGACCAAAAACACAAGGAAACAAAAAACCAACAGTCAAAACTGAGCCCTACCAGCATCATCTTCTTCCCAAAACACCCCCACATATGTAAACCAGCAAAAGGAAATAAGCAACGAAACAACATGAGCCTTTCCAAACTCAATAGAGCCCCATCCCTTCCCTTCAAAAGAGCCACGTTTTTATTCTTCTTCCCTCTATGATGTGACCCACTCCATCTAATTCCTCCTCCCCCCAAAATGATGTGACCCACTCCAGAACCAAATAATAAATGTGTAAAAATATTGCACCCAAATTCCGAGGCTGCGATGACAACTGAGTGTTGTAAATTTAAGTTTTTATTTTTTTTCCCGGACCGAAAAATTTAAGTTCGGACTCAACACAGTACTGGATCAAAACTTCGAAATTGTGATAGAGGGTTGTAGATTTGTAATCCAACAAAATGCTCGAAGTTTTTTTCAGAAAGCTAAGGAAGGGCCGATCCTCCTATGGTTTCATTCCAAAAATATACCGAAAGAAATATAACTTCTTGTTAGGTTTCGAACAATGTAGAGTTTAAATCATTCCTTATACGGTTTGATTCCAAACAAAAATCCCATCAAAAAATCTAATTTTTTTTCGCTTCTAAAGGAAAGAAAAAGATCCAGCCCAATCGGAAGAATGCAGTACAAAATCGTCTCCGTATTTAGCAACAAACATAAAACCCAAAAGACATCGATCGATTCGAGATCCCTCACCTTGAGATAAACAAATCCGATCGGTTTCTGCTGCTTCCCGACCCGAGACCTGGCGGCGGACGCGGATCCAATGAACCGGACGTCCTCCGGCGACGGATCCAAATCCGGACTCGGAATCGGATTCGGATTCGCGTTCGGATCCTGATCCTTGCTCGGCCCCATCTTGGCGTAGGTCAAGACGCCGTTTCGGAGGGAGAACCAGCGCTTCCTCCACCCCCGGCCGAAGTTGGTCCACTTCTGCAGGACTCCGGCGACGACGACGTCGGATCCGTCGGCATTGTCGGTAGCGGGCTCAGGATCCGGATCTTGATCCGCTATCCCAGGGCAATCGATCGAGATGCAGCAGAGCGGGTGCATCTCCCTCGCCCGCATCGCGACCCGAATCCGACAAGATTCACGATTCCATTCTCAGAGAGGATTTTTTTTTTCTTTTTTTAGACAGAGAAAATTTTTGTAGAGGGAGAGAGAGAAGAAGAAGCGGAAGATTCGAAAGAGGGAGATCAAAAGATGCGGTTATGATTATTAGCTTCTCATTTGAGAGCGCAGATATTTATAATTTCCGCTAATTATTTATTTACTTAATTATTAATAATTTGAGAGCGACTTGTAAATACGTGTTTTGTTCTGACTGCAAGAAAAAGATATGATCTATTATGAATCAAAACCTGGATCTATATATTTTTTTTTTAAATTCCCTGTCCAAAGTCAGTGATAAGAGTTTTGTGCTATATAATTTTATATATTTGATTGTTTCTAAACTAAGGGAGTTATTTCATGCGACTTATAAGATTTTTTTTTTTTTTTGGAGGGGGATCCTATTTAGTTTATTTTATTTATTTAATGTGCATTGTCTGTGACTGTTGAGTTGGCAGCGTTTTCCTCAAAATCATTAAAGAGGGCTATTGTTGCTTTTACAAGGACATTTTTTGAAGGGAAAGGCGTAGAAGTTAGATTTTTGTAATTAATGCTATTAGTTGGATTTTGTTAATTAATGTTACTAGTTGGTATTTGTATTACAGTTTTTCTATAGAGTGTCAGTGGGCACTCTATAAGAAAGCAGAGAAATAGAGAAAAATGAATTATGTACATAAATTAATGCAAATCAGGGAAGCCCATGAGCTGCTCATTTCTTTACATCTCTCTCCTCTCTTATAGAGTGTCCATGGGCACTCTATAGAAAAACCGTTTGTATTAATGCGGTATCCCTGAAAACAAAGTAGTTGGCATAAGGATATGATTTGGATAAATATTGCTGGAGTTTGGAGGGTATAATAGGCAATGAAAGTGAAATGGATAGCATTAATAAATAATGCTTTATTACTTATCAATCCTTCATGGTTTTTGCCGGATAAAAAATTAAAAACCGTTCAAAAATTTTTACCTAAGTTTATTTGTTGGCCATTCTGTACTCAAAGATGGAAACAAAATCTTTATCACTTAATGGGAAAATTTTGAAACCTTGATAAATCTAAGAGAAAACACGCCAAATCCAAGAGGAGATGTAATTTAGAAATCCAAGTGGGTGCATTGAAATAGGACAATTAAAATTTCCATTTTTTAGATTAGCACCTTAAGTTACATCCAACAGAATAATTTGCCAATACTTTCGTTGGAATCGTGTTTGTCTTGTTAAATCCAGTAACGAAAATAAGTGGTGTCCTCATTTAAAATTGGCGGAGAAAGAAATAAAGAAGCTTAATAATGATCATTACTTGTTTTGGCGGATTTAATTTGTGACATGTTAAGATGAACATTTTGAGTTTCTCTCGAGCTTGTATTTACGGTGAGCTGATTGCTTTTCGTTGGGTGAATAAATCCTATATTCAAGGAGTTGTTTGGTTGTCACAAAAATAGAGCCTCAACAACTAATGTTGCAAGAAAATTTACAACAAGGCAGCTATAAATGGAAATTGGATTTTCATTTGTTAAAAGAAAAATTCCTCAAGGATCCAAAATATGACCAATAGAAGGGACAAGTGAGGTGTTCCCCTCCTATTGGATAATGAGTTGGCCATCATTAATGATGGCCAACTCATTATCCAATAGGAGGAGGACACCTCACTTGTCCCCTCTATTGGTCCCATATTTTAGGTCTCTGTAGCAAAGCTCGAAAAATTCCTCAAGGACCCAAAATATGGGACCAATAGGGGGGACAAGTGAGGTGTCCCCTTCCTATTGGATAATGAGTTGGTCATCATTAATGATGGTCAACTCATTATCCAATAGGAGGTGGACACCTCACTTGTCCCCCCTATTGGTCCCATATTTTGGGTGCCTGTAGCAAAACTCAAAGAAGAAAATGTGAGTGGGGCCCTATGCTTTTTATTCATTCTCTCTCTTCACCCGCACCTTTCTATCTCTCTTCCTTATCCATTGCCCTTAAGTAATGGTTAGCAAAACCCAATTACCTTATATAAAGTTAAAAAATAAATATCATGGCATCAAGTTAGTTAACATAAATAAAATAAATGTGTATCATCTTTTACTATTTTGGATAAACAAACATTTGATTTACAGTGTGAACATATTTTGTGTAAACATATATGGAAATCCAACTACTTTTGTAGCTAACCACACACTGGATATAGATTTGAAATTTTATTTCATTAAATAAAAATAATGGTATCCAGATGAAATTTTTTGATTTAATGTATAACATATATCATATGCAATATTTGATGCATTTGTAATTACAACTTACCAAACAACCCTAAATTTTGGTTGCGCAAGGCCCTATTTATACCCATTTTCAAATATATATGTATTCCTTAGGGCTGAGCATGGTTCAGTCCAAACCGAAAAAACCGACCGAATCGACCCGAACCGATCCGAAAAAATCAGTTTTATGAGTAGGACGATTCGGGTCGGTTTGAAAACTTTTTAACCCGAACCGATCCGAACCGACCGAATATAGTGTAATACCATCCATTCTGATCTCAAACCCTACCCGACCCGTCCCCAAAGAGTCAAAGACTCAAACTCTAAACTCATTTTCTGGATCATTATGGGTTGAAAATAATATCATTATATCAGTGTTTAATGTTTCATAATCTCTTACTTTGTTAATATTTGTTTTTAACACAGTTTGTTGTTTGATAAGAAGTTTGATGAAGTTAGAACCGAACAAACCGAACCGAACCGCACCGAACCGACTTGCAACAGTTCGGTTCGGTTTTGAATTATAGGCGGTTCGGTTCGGTTATTCAAATTTTGATAAAAACCGAACCGAACCGACCGTTGCACACCCCTAGTATTCCTTCAAGTTATATTAGAAGGCAAAATAGTGATGGAACTTTTATACTTCTAAGTCGTGTAGATAGACCCCCATGAACTATTTGCTCGGGTATGGATAGACTCCTCCCGAATGGCTTTTTTTTTAACTCTTAAAAAGAAGGGAAAAAAAACGTTCACTAACGGATCTGTCCACACTAATATAATTACAAATAGTCTATCAGTAATTAGGCTATAGTATAATAGAAGATTTCCGCAATGAATACTAAAGTAAAATAGATAATATAAAATATAAGCGGCGCATCTCATTCTCAATTATAAGCTCTAGTTATTGAGCTCTGACATAAATTAAAATATGATTTTATGGAAGGTTCCAATTAAATATCAAAATACAATCTATTTTCTAAAAGTGCAAAAGGTAAAAAAAATAAAAATAAGGGGAAAACAGGAAAGAAAAATAAGGGCTAAGGATCTCTCTCAAGGATCCTATCTTGGTCTCTCCCTTTTACCTATCTTGGTCTCCCCCTCAAAAAAGGATCTCTCTCAAGGAGAGACTGGCAACCCCAATAAGGTTGGCATTATAAGAGAACAAAAGCACCTGTGGGTGTTCACACACAGCAATAGTAAAGTCATCTTCTCCATCTATCCTTCCAGATCACCTAATCCTATTGTAAATCCTAGAAGCAATGCATCCAGGTTCATTCTTGATCTCAAAACAGTTTACCCAACTTTCATAAGCTTTGTCAAATGGAGAATAGGATCAGGAGATTCATGCAAGTTCTGGTTGGACAGGTGGGCGGGTATCAACTCCCTCAGCAGCTTATTCCCCAAAGCTTTCTATCTAGCTTTCTCTCAGTCTAGCCTTATCAGCTCCCAAGGTTCATGGCAGAATAATGTTTGGATATGGAAACCTATTTTGAGGAGAGGCATCTCCATAGAAGACAAAAAAGATATCTCCGACCTATCTGCCTTCATTAATCATATCAGGCCTGATCCCGACAAATTTGATACCATTCTATGGCCTCTCAACCCATCTAATTCATTTTCGGTGAATCGTTATACGACATCCTCATCAAAGAAGGCATTTTATCCCCTTTCCACAATTTCATTTGGAAAACCCCTATCCCCCTCAAGGTTAAAACCTTCCTACAATTTCATTTGGAAAACCCCTATCCCCCTCAAGGTTAAAACCTTCCTGTGGATTCTAAGCAAGAAAAAGCTTCAAACAAAGGATAATTTGCTCAAAAAAGGTTGGACGGGTGACTTATCTTGCCCACTTTATAGCCAGATGATGGAAACCCATGATCACCTGTTTATATCATGTCCCTTTACCCAAGCTGTATGGGCCATCTTGCTACCATCTTCTTCCACCAGCTTATGGCCTCAGGAGGTAACAAGTTTGATTAAAGGCAAAGAAGAATTCTTGGTCAATCAGAATCATAAAGCTTTATGGAGGATTTTGTTTCCCTGTACATGCTGGTGCATTTGGAGGAGCCGCAACAACTTTATTTTCAATAATACTCTCTCTTCTCCCTCCTCTATTGCAGCTAATTCTTCCCGCTTTGTTCTCTACTGGACAGGGGCTTCTAAGAGCAAAAAATCACAGAGGATGCTTAATGCGGCAATAAACTCTGGTCTGCCAGCGATAGCGGAATCTTCTCGGAATGAAAACTTCGAAGAAAATCATCCTTAAGGGTTCGGGTCCCCAGGAGATCCTTTTGGTTTTGGAAATTTCAGTCTTTGTTAGTTCCCCAGTAATCTCTGCTATTGGGACAGTAGCTTCCTCCGGTTCTAGCAGTCCTCAGCTCATCCTGAGTTCTTTGGCTTATCAAGTTGTGGAAATGTGTTTTGGTAATGTAGTTGTAATCAGTTTTTGTTACGTTGGTTTCTATTAGCAACTTCTGGTTTTCTTTTTTGATTTTTTGAGTTCTCCTGGATTAAGGAAGGCTTGGAAGCACGATAGGTGTAGACTGGAGGATGACGACAAAGGTCCGCTCTCCTCCGTCTACATCTATTGTACTTTCCTCCTCCTCCTTTTTTGGTAAACTCAGATTCAAATGTATATTCTGGTTGTGATATAAATATATTTTTATGAACAGGGCTTTTCGCCCTGTTTTTGGCTTCAAAAAAAATAAGGGCTAAGGTCCCATTGCTGCCAACTAACATGCTATCTCTCATCAAAATTCACACACTTAATTTCCTAAAAAAGATGAAATCCCACGTGTCACAAATGTCTCACTCAACCCCAGCAACAATACCTCAATTTGCACC